TGGGAAAACCCATAAAACAGCAAGCGGCCACATCATGCAAAACTATTTAAAATTAAAAAAGAACAGTAGAGAAAATCCGATCAGAATGAGAAAATAAACTAAGCATCCACTGGAAGGAATCCCAATATCTGCAGACGGATCCGTTTCTGCCTTCTAGCCCTCATCAGTGCAGCTAGGGTAAATTGGCCTATATATATATATATATATATATATATATAGGCCAATTTTAATTTTAACAACTGTACCTTATTTTAAAGTAATTATGGCAGACCTTATCGTTTTAAACGGTGGAGGTGGGTGGGGTGTTAAATGCTTATACCGTGGATGCACTTTAATTTCTGTGTACGTATTACTGCACTTTGTCGTAGCATCAATGGAAGGAAGCTGTTATTGTCTGTATTTGCTGCTGTTAAAACGCCGCAAAGTTATTTAGCTATTTTGTATTTTCTATAAAGACCGCTCGCAGTGATGTGTTTCTATTCCGTAGTTTATTCATATAATGGACGGTGGCCAAAGCTTGTTCAATCGATGGGTGTATTAAGTAGACATACATTTCATTGCAATTGAAGAACCTTAAAACAAATTGATAAAAATCTTTAATCTGATACCGTACGTTGCCGGAGACGTAGCCAATGTAGATTTCTAATTATGCTTAAATATGGTCATGATGACTATAGCATATCATGACTATAATAATATAGTCGTAATATGCGCCTACAACATTATTCTGTCAAGTGGTCCACAAATATATTTACAATATAAATTTTTAATAAAGAGCGAATTGCCGAATGAATATTGTTTCCCTGGGTCTATTTAAAGTGTGTAACACATTATCAATAAAACGACTTGGATTCTTTTATTTAGAGGTTTATAAACTGCCAGTACATAAATTTAGGCCTTCTGTAATTTGAACAACTAAATCTCATTTTCGCGTATATATTTTTTTTTTCTGAGGAGCTATAAATTCTTAAACTGGTTAATGCATTTTAACTTTTCTGTATATATTACTGCACTATGACAGAGCATCATTGAAAGGAAGCTGTTATTCTTTGTATTCGCCGCTGCTAAACACGCCGCTACATTATTTAGCTATATCGTGTGTTTATAGATCGCTCTCCATGTAGCGGTGTGTATATAACGTGCGGTGGTCAATGCTTATGCCCTATTCAATCGAATCGATTTTTTTTTGTTTTGTTTGGTTGTTAGGTAGAAATATACTTTTTTTTCTTTAAAGATGGCCATACAATAGGGTTCCATGATATAAATACCACATGATCAGAACAACTTGGTCACATTAACTACCATAGTAACTCTAGTAACAAACATGCTTTACGCATAGAAGCTCCGAATTCATGCTTGAAAGATTTGTTTGTCTCTCAAGGAACTCGTAGTCACCTCTTTACTTAGACGTCCAAATCGCATTGGTTGTGTCCGGGACGCGATTTTTTATCCCGTACGAAACATTTGCATGAAACTCCACTCGGGTTATCTCGACTGACTCAACTCGATAATCTCAATTCTGGAGGTAAAAAGGTCATCTACCAAAGATAAACGTCCACAAAACTTCTGAGATACAGGATTGCTGCTCGCTGTCTAATTTTGAAAAAAAAACAACATTGCCATGCTAATATAATGGGTCGTTTAAAACGACATATGTACTATTTGATTTCACTGCACGAATAGTAAAAAGTGTTAAGGCCCTATTTGAATTTGAATTACATACTGTGAACATTTCTATGTTTTAGTTGGCCGCGGTTTTGGATAATTATTTAACCTAGGCCTATGTCATGACGAATTCGAGTCAACTCGGCCCCAAGTAGTCAACTCGGTCCCAATTTACTGTGTACGGTATTTATTGAATATTTACCAAGAGATTTAAATGCAAAGCCAAAATTAAAGTGTTTTTAAATCGTTGCCTTTGTTATTTCTTTTCATTTACATGCACTTACAATAATTAAAACTGCATTAATAAAAATAATATTAAAATGATATTAAAAAAAATTATACAAAGGTATATGGGCTTGGAGTAACTAATGATAATAACGTTCATTAATGCCGGAGTGATATATTTAATTTTAATATTTTTTTACTCACTGTCCCATTTTAATTTTGTTTTCAAAATTTCAGTCAATAGCGTGACTGTTGTGTCAGACCTAGGAACCTAGGGGCCTAATCTGGCGGAAGGTGGGGGGGGGGGTGGGCTAGCAGGTAGGACCTAACTCAGCTTGGAACTAAGCCGTTCCACTAGGCCCACTAGTTTAGCCTCTTTTGCTCTAGCATTTGATAGGAATGTACCTATTTACCACTGGTACTACAGTATAGAATGGGGTACTAGCTGTTGTTGTTGTAGTACATTTGATAACAAACATACAAGAAGCTCACAGTTAGTTACAGACGTAGCCTACATCCCATAAATCGGTACGATTTTATAGGCCTGCCGTAGGTAAACATAATATATAAAGAACAGTAAAGGTAATCTAATAGAATACTCGAGCGTCACGACATTGCGAAGTGCCTGCTCTTGTTCGTATATCAAACTCGAGTCGAATCAATCCGAGACGACCCGAGTGGAGTTTCATGCAAATGTTTCGTACGGGAAAAAAAATCTCGTCCGGGACATGTTTCTTATCATCTGCAACATTTGCCACAGAAAGGCTCGTTAAATTAACATTCTCTCCGAATCTTCATACATCATAAAGATGGGGAGATACCAATACCGCCTACTGGAAGGATGGCAATCCTAATTACCTTGTACAGTCGTCTTGGATAGAGAGGAGAATCCGGTCGCTAATGACACATACAGAAAATGGATGAGAATAACGTCACGATTACCAACTAACGCCATGATGGGTGGTTTTCTTTTTAATTTATATTTGATCCAAATGAATGGTTCATAATAATAATAATAATATTATATTATTTCGCGTTGTGTCATTATTTTCATATCAAGTATTACCATTCCATTCGCTAGTCTGTTATGTTTACTGACAATATATTTTGATTATGATTTAAAGTTCTGCTTTCTGTGCATTGCACTATGATTTCTGTTTTAATGTTTTTGACTGAAACCACTTAATGAAATATGTTAAAAGACACTATTGTTTTAAACAAACAGGAGTAATAAGATAAGTGTATTCAATTGTATGTGACACGGCTATCGTAAATTTTGAATCTGTGTACTGGAATAAAAGTGGCTTCGTTACAAAAGAGTCAAAATTACTGAGTATATTTAGTAAATTGTCAGCCTTGGTATTTCTATGTTATCATGACGTTGTCCAAGCTAATTCGCACAAGCCAGCCTATAACGTTACTTGCCTACTTACAGCCTGTTACATGAAGATGTAAAAACGTCATCTTAAAATTAAGACTCGTTTAATTGTGTTGTTTTATCGGCATGTGAAATGTAATTTTAATTAACTGATTCGATGATGTACCGTAAGGATTTGTAACTATTTAAACTTAAGTACTTTGCTTTTTAAATAATTAATAAAATATATAAATCTTATCGGTATTTTAATTATACTATTTGTCAAGTAGGCAATGTAATTTATTGTTAAAAATTATATATTAAAACATTTTTAACTATTTAAACTTTTTTTTATATTTGACAATGTATCTTTAATTATTTTTATATTAAACCATTTTTTTATATCTTTGTTATGTTTTTATGTTATGTCTGTCAATGTATGGATTGTTATGGTTATTCAGACAATAAAATTATCTTGTAATTTGTATTTTGATGTTTACTGTGCTTATTATTTCTTTCTCTGTAAGACGTTGTTTCTTTGTAGTTGACTCACAACACACTGCCTTCATGTACAATTTTAGTATGTTTGTTGTTTAGCGTCAATGTGTATTATCTGTAAATAAATTTTGTTTAAATAGTTATGAACTCATATCAATTTAGTTTTACTGGTATTTAATGTATTGTTCTGACGTAATAGTCCAGTGAAAGTTAATATAAATATAACTTATAATAATAATTTACGTTTATATAGCATATTGCGCAGTTCCTCTGTGCGCTTAACATTAGTTGATAAAATAAAAAGCATAATTAGTTAACTATAGGCCTAAGAGGCATAAGTTGTAGTGGCAAACAGCGCAAAGTCTCAACGGGTCAACCATTCTTCTCTATCCTGGCGCAATCCTAGTCTGCTCCCTCGGGGCTAGAATAACGCCAGAGGTGTGTTGTTACATACATGTGTGTGCTTGGAGGCGATTATTTTCCGTGTTATTACAAATATGATTAGTGGTATTGGTAAGATACTGGTACATAATGTGAGATATATTTATTCCTACTGTTGGCATGCGCCCTCACTAATCATACGCTGTCTTTTTACTCAGTCCTCTTATTATTACGACTATTTTTCATTATTAGATATTGAAATGTATAACATAAACAATATAAAGTGATTGCAACATTTACCAGAGTATTAGAAGAGTGAACATTATGTAGAAATTGCTACCTTTACCACAGTTACCACAGCATCATGTGCGTCTGTGTGTTTCCAATTAGGAAAGTGACTATAAGTTCGCTGCTTGGCATTAGTGGCCAATGTGGATAAAGTTACATTTTATAAATGCGTATTTTTTTTTAAATCCTAATATTACAGTTTTAATTGTAAAACCACTTACTGCATTGAATAAATGTCTAGCATAAAACAATATAAATTTAAATTAAATAAAAAATAGGTCTATATAATTATATTTTTTGGAATATTAGTTTTCTACCTTTTAATTTTTTTAAAGGATAATTTGAAATTCACATATTTTTACTTATTTTCCCTCTAATTTAGACTTTAAACACACTAAAAATTATAATGTTGAACTGATCATTTATAAGGAACGTAATATTTCAATTTCAATAAATACACTGATTTAAGTCAAAGTTAAGACTCAATATTTATTTGACTTAAACATGTGACATGCCTAAATAATATGGTCATGATGACATCAGAATTATCATGACCATATGTAGGCATATCATGACTATATATGGGTATCCAACAGGATTTTGCCTAATATGGTCATGATGACATCACATCATGACCATTATAGGCACATCATGACTATATGGGCATATAACAGGTGCCAATTTTTGGCATTTTGGTCAAACAAAATGTGATAATCTGGACATGTTAGTCTCTGTTAATTCAACGAACAATGAATTTCATTACCTTTGCCGGTGTGTTCAAGGAATGGTAAACATCTGTAATTCATTGAAGCGCATCTCTGGCATCCAAATTGCTTCATTTTTATATTTGTTCAATGGTTATTTTGTTATTATAATATTTTTAATAATAATAATAATAATAATAATTATTATTATTATTATTATTATTATTATTATTATTATTATTATTATTATTATTATTATTATTATTATTATTATTATTAATGGTGGCAATAAATTTAATTATAATATTTAACTATAAATAAATAAATTAATAACTATAATAATAATAATAAGAGTAATTACAACAAAGGGGTTCCAGGATATTACGAGAAGAAGCTTCCAAAACTCGCGTGTGAACGATTTTCTGTAGTCACTGCTTTACTTAAACGTCCGAGACCAAAACGGTCGAAACGGATACATCTGCAAATATTGGGATTTCTTCCAGTGGATGCTTAGTTTATTTTGTCATTCTTGATCGGATTTTCTCTACTTTTCTTTTTTTAATTTTATGTTGCTTTGCATTATGTGGCCGTTTTCTGTTTTTATGTTTGTTTTTTTTTTCATTTTCCTCTTCATATACATATATATATATATATATAGATATGCATTTCAACTAAACTCTGCTAATAACTTAAACGAATGTGCTTCGCATGCATAGTTATATCAATATCAGTATCATTAACATTAAAAGCTAATTTTCCGAGATGACTAATTACGTAATTATAAAACCACATACTGTTCTTTAAATGCTAGTATGAAAACAAAAATAGAATACTGTAATTTAAAATTACAGTACTTTAAAAAATATTATGATTTGTTTTCTTCCTCTTTGTTATATAAATAATAATTTGACCGCCATCCACATATTTTTCACTAAAAATTGGAATATTAAACATATCATTTACAAGAAAAGCTTTGAATTTAAATAAATACATCGATTTAAGCCCTGTTCACACCAATACCTCTCAAAAAAGGTGGGGGGGGGGGCTCCCGTAAATCCGCCCCCTGCAGTTGGTTCGAACGGCTCACTCGCCAATGGTTCCGATTGTGCAATTCTTCTCCGACAAGGACTTTAAACCGTAGGCCCAGTGTACGCATTTGTCCCGTGTGCACTTTAAGGAACCAAGTACATCCTCCGAGAAGAGTAGGGGGTTTCCCTGGTGTATTGGTAAAATCAATTGTTGTTTCACGGATATGCCATCTGGAATACTGATTAGGCTTGCCGATTGGCATATCCTTGGCGCTCGTGCCTAAAGAAATAAATAAATCACGAATCGTCACGAAATGCTGCTTGCAGTAAAATAGGCCTTTCACTGCTTATTTAAACACACTCATATTACTGTATATTTAAAATTACCTTTATGCCCATAAGTATTGTTACCATTATTTTTCTATTATTAAACATAATTATCTGTCACAAATCGAAACTGCTATAAACTATTAAGCCTATATCAAAAGTAATGAATATGGCCTACAACAATTACAAATTGTATAACAGACCTAGCTTTATTGAATAACAACTATTAAACAATTTAATTTATTGTTTGTTGCTAATATAAAGTGATGCACGTTCGACACCTAACGGTGAATCTAAATGACATATATTTCAACCAATGGAGTTTTTTTACAGTATCAAATCCCGCTGATTATATCAACAATTATAAAGAAAAGACAATTTTTGGCTGTGCGAAGGTGAGTAAATGGCATATATACGACGTGTATATCATGCATTCAAAGGAAATAGCAATTATTTATAAAATTGTCAGGATCCAGTAAAGAAAACTTCCATTTCAACTATTTTGAACTCAAGTAAGATCTTAACTTGCACAAATGCTGATTAAGTAAATGTGGACACTAGTAGTCCAGAAATCACAGACTATTACGTATTGGTAATATTAGTGGCTTGCTTTCTTCTGAACAGCGCCGCCACAAGTGTTGAATTGAATGATATGAATATGAACACTCCTTGGAAACTATTCAATATCACGAAGATATACCAAAGGAATGGTTCGTCGACGAATGAAGCAAGAAACCCAAAGATCCAAGTCAATCCCATAATGCACGAAATCTGAGATATAAAAAAGAACAATAGAAATTTAATGTAAATTATTTTTAAGAAACAAAAAATGTTCATATATATATATATATATATACATATATATATATATATTCAACAGATTTAAATACCACCAGATACACTCCACTGCTCAATAATTACGGCTCTCAACGAACGTACTCTTGTAAATAAATGAATAATGAAATTGTGTAACACAATGCATCCGGCGGGACTCGAACCTGCGACCTCTCGCTGTCAAGGCGAGCGTCATAACCATTAGACCACAGAGAGGATTCAAGGTTGAAGAGATTGAAATACCACCAGATACACTCCATTACACAAAAATTACGGCTAGAAAAGTTGCGTATAATATAAATCAAGATATCCGTTAACACTGTTAAATTATATAATAATCATAAAATAAAGTTAAATACAGTGTTAGAATAAAGGACACAATAATATATCGTGTAGCATTGCTCTCTACGAACGTGGTCTTGTAAATAAATGAATAAAGAAATTGTGTAATAAAATGCCTCTGGTGGGACTCGAACCTGCGACCCCTCGCTGTCAAGGTCTCGCTGTCAAGGCGAGCGTCATAACCATTAGAATCAAGATAATTTCCAATGTTTTTTATCTATTTTGTAATTCATATTATGTTCTCTGTCTTTTCACATTTATTTATATTCCTAAATTCATATATTTTTCTATAACATTTTTTATTTTTTTGATAGCGCATTATTATCAATTACATTTATACACAACTATTTTTTTTTATGAAGGTTTAAATTACGTCTTCAATTCTGCCTTTTGTTTTTGGACAAACCTGTTATTTAGCATAAATGCGTGACTAAAAATAATGCATTTTAATTCCAATTATTTACCTTTGCAAATATGATGAGATTAGTAAAAATATCTTTCTTTGTAGAAGCTCCTCGCATCTTTTTAGAGCTCATTTTAGTTTTGTAAATCCCGCACACTATAACGACAAACATAATGCTGTTTAAAGCAAAGATCGTTGCCATGGGAATACCTAAGAACATGAAGGCAGCAAACTCATCGCGTATCCAACAAACTGTTTCGTCACCGTATGAGAATTTGATAGGTGCGTATTCCCAAATATGAAGAGTCATAGCGGCAGCGACAACCAAAGCGGGAAGTCCCCAACAACAAAAGAAAGGCATTGTAATAGATTTTTTTCCACTTCGATGCTCTACAGCTGATTTTAAAGAGCGGAACGATTTGAACAATACTATTGACATTATAAACATCCACATAAACGCCACCAACCACATATAATGCAAAAGTGCAGCCAGAGCAATACACCCCAGGTCGGATTCAACTAAACTTTTTGCAAACAACGTCCCAAGCTGTGCCAGAAACAATGCCGCCGCAATATTCATTACAATTTTACCAGAAATTGTCCGGAGGTCTTTTTTAATGCAACGTATAATAAATGTCAAAAACAGACCAAGGAGTGAACAAGAGACGCCAACGACGTTCAAAATCTGCAAGGCTTTATCATAAATGAAAATGGTTGATACATATGTATTCGTTCCGTTTTGAGAAAAGAAAGAGCAGACAAAAACAAAATCGTTAGAAAATACTGCAATCTCATCAATTGTAAACACACGACCGTTCGGCTTGTACATCCAACTTGTATTTTCCATGACTTCAAAATCGTTGATGTTCAGAGCAATGAGAGGACATGTTGGGTCGGGTGACCGATCAAGACAATTTGATATACTGACTCTAATCGCCTTTGCTGGTTCGCTTTCAATATTAAACGTCATTTCCACTCGATAATCACTGTCTGATATTGTGAAAGTTTTATTTTCGTCTGCTACTGTTACTGATTCATTCCCTTTCTTAATATTTAACATATCCACATTTAACTCCAGATCATTACAAATTTCGTAATCATTGTGTACCGTCATGTTGTTTTTTGAATTTATACACGCCTGCAGTATTGTAATATTTTCAAACAAATATCTATTCTCGCTATTGATCTGTTGATAGATTTTTTGGGTAATATTTTCCAACACGTCGCATTGTGACGTATTGAAATAAATTGTAAACATTGGAGGTTTACCAGACGTATGAAATGCGAATGATACATTTTGAAATTGTATCCATGACGTCATCCTAGTCAAGAAATCATTGTTGGTAAAGTTATTAAGAAAGTGGTATCGTAATTGAACTCTGCTATCATGTTTACATAAGCATAGGAGTTCACTTGAGTATTCAGCATCTGCTTTAAATTGTGCTGACACAGGCATTTGAATATCAAAGGGTTTTATGCAGGCATGTTCAGTAAGGATCTCATCATTTTTGCAAATAGTTGAAATGCATTCACCAGATTCTCCAATAAAAGGATTGAAGACACGACCAGAACCACAATCTACCCCGACAGTGCTAGCCTTTGAATGAGGTGATTCGACACTTAAGGTTGAACCTGAGGAAAAGTCCAGCAAAATCGTGATGGGTATTATCTTACCATTAGCATCTATGCTGGAAGTAGTAGGTATAAATATCGGGCAAATATTGTGTTGTTGGCTTATACCATGACAACGTGCGCAATGTGTGTTTGCGTACTTCCCACCAAATTTGGCGTACACTGATGCAATGTAGGTCTTGCATTTATATGCTACATCAATATCAGGAAAGTCAAGTGGGCAATATTTTATTCCGGGTTGAGGGTCAAGAGGGCAATATCTCTTACTGTAGTTTTGAGTTGGTTCATATTCATAATACCGTCTAGGCGCGCGATCAATCTCAGAAATAATGTTTTTAAAACTTATTGGAGTTGTTGGAGCCATGGTTGTTGTCTGTAGTGGTTCTTCGCCTATCCATATAGCCACGGGTTCAGGGGCCAGATTAGGGTAAATACAATTGACAGTAACTTTCCATGCTACAACATCCGACATCGGTACGCCATTACACAGAGCACAATATACGTTTAAATAACCTAAATTAGAAGCGTCACTGACTGGAATACTAAGAAGAAAATCGTCTTGATTTGGCTGTTCACAGTTCAAGCGAACCTGTTCATTAAATGTTCCTGGACTGCATTTGGAAATCAAATAGTACGTGCTATCTTTACAGACTGTACGGTCCCATAATGCCATAGAAGGGATCCGAGCTTCTTTGTCGTTGCAATTTGTCCAGTAATCGTAACAGCAATCTCCATAAATCTCACAATACGAGTCACAGTTGCACAACGACTTCTTGCTCGAAGGTGTCCCACATCTACCTTGGCAAGTCTGATGCCGTGGACAAACTTTAATCGTATCATTAGATATGTCTACCGTTGCATGCACGTTAATCAATTCTTTAAAACGAAATCATTGAATTAACAGCAAAATAGTAATGAATATTCAACAGTGAACAGTAATTTGTAATTTCAATGTTTCCATATAATTTTGGGGCCATGCAAGACGGACCCCAGAACCTCACTGCTGATCTGTTCATGTCGCTGTTGTTAACAGAATTTTAGATACATTCATCGTCGCCAGTTTTCAACGGATGTACATGCAATTTTGTACATACAAACTAGAGGTGATTTCATGACCCCTTATTTTTCCCAGTAAACCTACAAAAGCAAACAAGGTTTTCAGAATGGACTGTACATTAAAGCCATTACAAATAATAGGATACGTCGCATGGATAACGCGATCGGTTAACGATGTGTTTTTCTAATAAGGAACCAAATATCGTGAGTTCGAATCGCGCGTCTTGGTATTCATTTTTTTTTTCAAAAAGATATTTTAACTTAGTTTTTTTTTTCTACTGTATTTTGTATTTTAATAAGGTATTCTATCTGTTATATTAGTATTAAATAATTGCGATTATGAACCCTTGTTTATTACCTAATAAAATAACTTACTCCACTGTGTGTTGTATTTAGGCCTAAGCATGGACGACATTTCCTTCATTATTTAAAAATGTTTTATAGTGTCAACAACAAATAAACCTCGTGTGAAGATGCATACACGAAGCGTTCAACATTTTAACACAGATTAACGCGTGGACCATCGGGCGGTCTCTCTTGTGTTATTATTTCAGAAACAGCAAGGGGATAATAATGCACAGAAGAGGGTGTATCTTATAGACATCTAACAGACTATTTACGTGCAATATTAAATGCGTTCTCATTGTTCTAACTTCTAAATCACATGCTCATATCGCCACTGTTCTGAACTTAACTGGATACTCAAACTTAAAACTCATAACAGCTTAAACAAATACTTCAGCATTCTTCTATAGCAGCTACACTTTCTTCAATTCTTAACAAACTTGGGTTATCTACAGGTCACTTTATATATAATATAATATAATATAATAT